TTGTGCAAAACAAACAAAAACAAATAATCTTTACAGGTAAACCAAAACTGTCAACGACAAGAAATAACAAGCATGAATTCACAGGTCCTGCTCTTAATGTTGGTAAATGAATTTATATTTCTGTATGTTTTTGCAGTGGATGTCCCATGGCCAGACGGAGGCGTCCATATACCAACAAGCTGAAAACGGAAAGACAGAGTTGTCTCTCATGCATTTCACCATCAAGAACCCCCGCTGGCAGCCGCCTCAGGAGAGCTCGGTGTTCATCAGCCATCTGAAGGAGAAGGTGCACCACGACGCTCAGGGCGGCCCCTCCACCCAGCTGCTGCTCTCTGAGGCCCCGCTCTGCACCTCGCTGCAGTCCAACGGCTCCGGCGCTGCGGTAGGAACCTTGATGTTACAATAAATATGAATTGCCTCAGAATGTTTAAATAATTCAAGAGTAGAATTCTCTACTTTTAAAGGTCACCTATTATGCAAAATCCACGTTTTCATGTCTTTAATACATCAACATGTGTCCCCTCTGCGTAAAGAGATTCTGAAAGTTTCAGGAAAAAAGATTCGCTCTCTTTTTGTCCTGATCCATTTATATAAAAACCTGTCTGAAAATGAGCTGATCAGATTTTGACCACTTTATGATGTCATAACGATTTTTTGGCTTGTGTAACCATTAGCCAATCACCAACCAAGGTTACACCCGCCCACCTTATCACCTGAATCTCCTCCTAGAGCACCATTATGTTTTTTTTAACCAAATATCTTTCAGAGGGGCGTGGGGAGGGGCTCCTTATTTTCATCTAAAGTAACAGACAGAGAATCAGCACTTTTGAAACAGGGCTGAAACAGAGGGGTTTATGGGATGCTGCATTGATCTGTTTGGTTATTCGAGCCAAACACTTCAGAGACATGTTTTGTATATATCTGAGACCTATAATAAAGTCATGAAAAACAGTATAATAGGGGACCTTTAACTAATGATCCATAAAGTATATTTCTAAATGTCAGCTAGCTTTTCTATTGCAATGTAATCTTGTTTACTTAGGGACTCTGTACTGACATGTGTGTTTTTTTCCAGCCTGATAATCTGCTGGCCAGTGTCTTGGCTCACCCTGTTCTAACTGCGTCTGGACTACAAGGGCGGGACCACCGCTTCGTCCCCCCCAGCACCGCTGCTTCTGCCGCTGCCAGTGTCCTGGCCTCTCTGTCCACCTCCCAGCTCCCCCACAGCAGCCGCAGCCGCTCCCACAGCCTCCTGAACTCTTCCGTCCAACCCGAGACCATGTACCGCAGCGACCGCACCATCATTGACAGGTATTACGTACTGCATCATCACACGCCGTAGCTATAATAGTGTTTGGTGAAATCAATTTATAAATGCAAATGCTTGTTTTGAACTTTGATTAACATGTTTTTTCTTTTCAGTATGTCTAACAGTGACATCCGGGGCAATACTCTGAACTCAGAGTTTGCCTCAGCAGAGATGAGTCTCCATGCCATCTACATGCACGAGGTAATTTCCAAGCTCTACAGTTGACCTTTCCCTTGTTGTGCGTCTGGAGTGTAAAGTGATACTCTGCTTGAATTACAATGATCCAAACATTGACCAGGTTTTGCAATGAAAGAAATTGCACTTCTCAAGTCTACAGGTGTCATATGTTTGGTATTTCAAATATTGATTTCAGCTAGAGAAACATTTTCTGCTGCTCATTGAAAACTATTTGTCTCTCCAGCTCCACCAGCAGAGCTCCCACCCACAGAGAGCTTCAGGGCAGTGGCAGAACCCAGTGCCAATGAGAGATCTGCACACTAACAGTGGTAAATGAAAACCTTGTTTTACGAAGAACTTGCAGCCTGCAAAAAACTTTATACAGCACTTTAGCTGAAAGGAAAGTTAGAAATTATTTTCCGTGTTCCGCTTTGTTTTTCAATATTAACATTGAGTTCAAAGACTTTAAAGGTCCCATGTCATGGCCATTTCTACTGATCATAATTCCATTGTTGAGTTATACTAAAATAGATTTATACTGTTCAATTTTCCAAACTCACATTGGTTTCTCATCCAGCATCTCTGTAAAGTATGTGTATTCACCGGTATTCATTCTCTGTCCTAAACGGCTTGTTCGAGCTCCTGCCCCCCCTCCCTGTGCGCCCGGTGTGCTCTGATTGGTCGAGAAGCTAACAGGCTCGTTGCTGCTTGCACACACACTGCTGCGAGCTGCTGCAGGAGCAGACAGGCTTAGCGATACAGCTAGAACAAGCAAAACTCACCCTGAGCACACACAAACACAGCCGAAGTAAAAACAATAAGTGTGACATGATATTGAGTAAGAAAAAGGTTTAACGCTGTGAGAATGGGTCTGCGGAGAGCATTTCTCCGCGATCCAAACGTTGTAGTCCAAAAAACGTTTACCCATTTAAACAGTCGTGGTAGATACCTTGTTTGTTTTAAACATCATAAAAGTGATGCAAATTAGTCGCTTTTCGGCGCCTCCCGCTTTTTTAACGCTGATTTGGGGGGGGGGTCCGTCAGTCCGTCCGTACAACTTCTCACTTCAAAAATTGATCTGAGTAAATTATAAAGAACAGCCAGTTAATTGAAGGATTATAGCACAGGCCTTTGACAGATGGTATA